CAGAGTGGATACGAAAGCATTCGGAGCAACCTGATCAGCTCCCGACTTCAACGACTCCTACCCAAAAGGAGCCAGTTTCCACTACTTCAACTCCTACATCCAACAAGAGAAAGCGATCAAGAACTCCGTGAGCAGCATTGCTGAGTTGACAATTAGATGCATACTTGCTGCCCCCGGCAGCCAACAACCACACAGCAAAGCTGTGATGTGAACCCCATCATCTCTGATGAGGGCCAACATTAAGAGCACCATGTTGAAAGATCATGCCAGCCGGTGAGGTTGCTCCAGTGACGTTTATTTGTATTTCCCTCTCTCTCTTTTCCGACGATCAGCGCATGCGCATGCTTCAATGCAGTTGTGACTCCGCAGCCATTTCTCAGAACTACAGTTGTTGTAACATTTTTAGGATCGCACACATATGGACGAAGACGACGACAGCAGCCTATGGGGATCCGAAGAGATTGATGCTTTTCTGAGGAAGGATGACACCGCCACATCCTCCCATGCAGTCAGTCACACACACAAGCAAAAAACAAAGCACACAACGAAGACAAAAAAGAAGAAAGACAACAAAGACAAAAAGGACAGAACAATCGTGAAAACAAAGAAAACACACAACATTTCACCAGCATCCCATTCCACAACACAGCATCAACGCCAACATCCACATACTACAAGACGAAAGAGGACACGCTCTTCGCACTCAACATCATCAGCTTCACCTACGGCAACGCCACAAGTGGCTGAGGACGCACACCGATCTCCATCGCGAGATCCTTGGTCTTCTGACTCGATTGCACCCTACGATGTTGTGCATCCTATCATTCAACATAAGCGGTCCAAAACCGCTTGTGCAAAAATGCTGGTACGTGCAGGTTTCAGATGTAGATGCCATTTCAAGATCATGAGCGACTGTCCCAACAATCTCGATGTTGGAACCTGATTCTCAGGACGGATTAGGACTGCAAGTTCCGCTAAGCGTGACAAAAAAGCCTTCGCATGCGAGTGTCAGCAAGACACTACTTGGTTGTGTCTCCTGAGCACACAGCATGTCCATGTTGTTTTGCATTCCTTGTTCAAGCGTTTGTCAGTTGGTAGCAGCAAAACATGACAAAGCGAAAGGCTGCTGAGGCCGGCCTTCCATGGTACTCCATGGCAGGACAATGTTTTCGGATGACTGTTGAAATTCCACCCGACCGCATTACCAGAGACAAGCACATGCTCTTACACGTGGTGCTTTGTCTGGGTGACAACGTTCTACAAGCTCGCAAGATCTTCTCCTACCGCATCAAGGAGATCACCGGCAGAACTCCAAAAATCCCTGCTTTCTTCTTCGAACAAAACCGTCGACGACTACATGATTGGGATTCAGTCACCACATTAGCCACGCTGAAGCCGGTGCTTTTTGTTAGAACATGTTCGGATCAGGAAACACGACAATCACCCGACCGCTAGTGACAGCGAGAAAAGTGCGCCAATCACTTTTTGCCATGGATCAGACATTTCACTCTACTTGAAGCATACACGCCCCATTGGGGCTGTGTGTGTGTGAACCTCCCTAGTACATGGGAGCAGAGGGTCACTCCTACACTGCTTGCAATTTTGCTTTGCAACACAATCAGACATTTGACACTCAACGATTCAAATGTTGCAGGGGGATCAGGCTTCCAGTGACTGACCTGATCCAACGAAGCTAGGTCACTGGAAGGGAAGTGATTGAGGACGCTCAGTCATGTACCTGCGCATTTTCGGCAGCCCCCTGTGGTGCCAAGATTAGTGTGAGGACAGGCCCCCTGTGGTGTCCAGATTATTCAAACAAGTTGTACGGTTGCCACAATCTGACAAACTTTTACAACATGAACAACATGCCTCTCTTTTTCCTCTTGCACTCGTACTCTTGGCCGAATCCATCAGTGTGGGTGGGTGTTTGGGTTTGCAGGAGCGGGTGGGTGGCAGAGTAGCGCACAAAGTCCCGGGGTGAGGTGGAAGGGACTGCTGCTGAAACGGTGGTAACGGTTTCAGCGAGGGATTGTGTGGAGAGGGAGCGGGATGTTAGCATAGAATAGGGATAGCAACAAAAGCAAAAGCAGCACAAGCTGGGAGAAGCCCAAGGCCTAAGTCAGGATCGTAGAACGGGTGCAGAGGGATGCAGGTGGCGGTGTATATAAGTTTTGCACGAAGTGCTGGGGCGGTGCGGTGTGGAGATGTGTCAGCATTAAACGATGGGAGGCCTACGGGACCTCGTCCGGTGTGCTTTTCTGATAATGAAACCAAGCGGCGATGGAGGGACCGAGTCCTTCTCGGTTCTGTGTCTTTGCTGCTGGCATTCGTGAGAGTCCACTTTAAAAAAATTAATGAAAACAAGCGACAAGGAAATGCGTGCGTGTGTTGTTTTAGCCGACACATCAACCATTCACTACGTTGTTTTCTTTCCCTTCGCTTCGGCTTGATCTGGGTGCGACAAGGTTGGGCGTCGGGACAGGCGCAAAAAAGCGAAACCGAAGAAGCATTAATGGCATTATTTGGCTCCCTGGAAAGTCGCGGGTGGCCGGGGGCCGCCAAGGACCCCCCAGCTGATGCTCATGACTTTTGCTTTAACTTGTTCTATTCGTTTCTCGTGTTTTGTCCTTTCGTTGCGTTCCCTGTCAATGGAAAGTGCAAAATGCTCACGACGCGATTTTTCACAAAAGAAGCTTCACACCGTCGCATCTGAAACACGAGCACAACCACGATGTTTATAGCACTTTGACGTGTTTTCGTAGCCACAAAGCAGCCAAAATCTGCCGAGGCAGCAGGGCTAGACAGGTGATGCTGATAGTCCACGGCCCCAGATAGCTCAAGACCAACTTGAAAGGGCGAAAGATGCAGCAAAACCAGCACACGGAGTCCAATGATGCGAGCGAAGCAGAGTGGATGAGTTGGGTTGGCGGCATGGGGGCACCCCAGCAGGGATTCTCCCGTCAGGGATAGACTTAGACGTTAGGGATCCCTCGTGATCCCAAGTTTATGATGGCTAGGATCTGACCACTTTGACATGTCGGTTTCACCTAGAGGTTGATTGTGGGTTGAAGCGAAGCAAGCACCGGCCGAGAAAATTACGTGTTTGTTGGTTTGTTTCGACAGCTTCGAGGCTTGCTGTTCGGACCGGCTTCTTGCGGAAGGTAAGTTTTGTGTTACATCATGTGCTTTCGTTCCTCTTTGCTGCCGAGCAACATCGACAAAGTGGAAGGAAGACGGGAGTGGCAACTGGCGCTCAGGGGCAACGGATGCCGCCGGTTGGCTAAGGCACCTACTGGATACGACCGATCTGGTTATTGCAGACAGTATTTGGGCCCTGCGAGGCACACCATGCATGGATTGCATTAGCTTATATGCACACATAATTTTGAATGGCCTTTGAGTGCAGGCCTCCCAAACCGCCAGCAGATGCTGGCAACATTCCGCGCGTGCTCGAGAAGGCTGAGGCTCGCAGATGGCTTCTTTAGCTGTCAGAAGCACCATTGATTTGCTTGACCAGGCGGCCAAAGTGCTGGAGAACCTGAGACGTCTGTTGGCGGGCCTTCGTGTTCGTGCTCTGGATTTAGAGGATAGGCGTTGGGCAGCCAGTGCATTTGGTTTGGAATCATGCCAAACGGCAGGAGCAGCCGACCGAGTCCGAAGCGGCAAATGCCGAATAGAAACGTTTCACACCTCTTCCATTAGAGCCAGATGTTGCGACACGGCATATCTTGGTGTGTGCCAAAACGGCCACTTCAGCCGTCGTCCTGGGAAAAAGAAACCTGAAGCTACAACAAAATGGCGCAGGACGATCTGCCTCACAGGGGTCTTGAATTTTGCCGATCGTCCCGGGGGTTGGTGCATTGGCAGCTGGGACCATCCGGGAGACTCGGGGCCGAGTGGGTCGCACTATGCATTACGATTGGCGCACAGCCCGTGCGTGCCTGGCTCATTCCAAGCACATTGAACGAGATGAGAACCTTGCCGGCATGTCCGCAAGCGCCTGCCTGAAGCAAATTACTCGCTCACATTCAATGCTGCTTCACGCAGTGCGACCATTGGGAATTTGGGGGTGTGAGTGGTGATGTATTGAGAGTGAGGGGAGGACGTGCTGCATCCTGGCTTTCCTGTACTGCAATAGGTCAATTTAATGCATGATCTTGCTTGCGTGCACCGGCTGACGTCCGATCGCATTCGCAAATGCGCATTGCTTGGTCGGCAATTTGTACAATTTGTAGGATGCGGCTCAAATCTGCCAGGCTCCCCTCGAGGAAGCGCTTCCGAGCGACTGGTGCATGAGCTGAAGGCCTCAGGGGATTCGATGGGCTACGGCTGTGGGGTTGTAGGCCTGGTTTACACACCATCAGAAATCTCCGCGAGGTTTTTCCCAATCACAATACGTACAGCTCCGTGGCTCAACTGTGGAGCTGTGCTGGGACCAAGATACCTGACCCCCACTCGCGTTCAACGCACGACTCTGTACCTGGGAAAATTTGCTATCTAAGATGGGACTTGGCTAAACGGCCGTTGCCACGGCGATGGCCTCTACACTTGGAGTGCTTGGTGCCAAGCTGGAGGCATGCACGGGACAAGTCCGTGAAAGTGGCCACGCCCAGGATGGCACCGAGTATGCTGGCGAGTTCCGCGAAGGTTTGATGTGGGGTCAAGGTGAAAAGCCTTTGCCTCAGCTACGTTTGTCAAGCTGTGGGCCAAGATGCTTTCAGAGGCGGTGGTCAAACGGAAGGCGATACTGTGGAGAATGGGTCGGGCCCTGAAGCTGGCGAGACATGGACAGACTTCACGTGGCTTTGACAGCAGGTGCAGGACATGATGTGGGGGAACGGCGAAATGCACTGACCTTGGTGCAGGGAGGTACTCGTTCTAGCTGTGATGTTATCGCCATGGCGCATGAACGCGCATGATAGAGCGGAAAGTCTTCTTCCTTCTCTATGGCTCTCGAGACTCAGAAGACTCAGATCCATAGGGAGTGATGGGTGATCGCC